GATCAGTGACATTGGCAAATAGTTTGAGAATGAAAACGTCTGTTCGGTTTCCTGATGGCCACCAATCCCAGGGAATGTGAGTAGCCTCTTCTGCTTCCTGCCATTCTGATGGCGGCTCCCATGGCAACGGGGCAAAGGTGAAAGAGATGTGGCAGTCACGTCTACACCCTTTGAATCTACCTGCTCTCAGTGATCAGTAGCAGTGCTGGCCAGGGGAACAGGCTGGCTGTTCAACGGCCAGGAAATGAACCTGTCTATACAAACTGTGACTATTTTCTACTTGGACAAAAACAGATTTTAAAGTTTAGGTGGTCGCTGCAAGGAATAGTAAAACTTCAATATATTTAATATCAGCTGGAATTTTCTTAAAAACAGCTGAGCTGGAAAGAACGTTGTGCCACCGAATTAGATTGTAAGCCTCTTGAGGGCAGGGCCATGCCTTCACTTTTGTTAGTATCATTTCTCTGGTCTCTAGGCCTCCTTCCCCAACACCTGATACACGGGTGTTGATCCCCCAGGAAAACCCAGGCAGCAAAATCTCAATTTATAAAACCTAAATCAATGCATTCAGGTTTTGTAAACATGAAAACCTAAATTTGTGTTTACAAAAGGATTCACAGAAAGCTTTCTTCAAATAGTGAATTTCCCTGCAGCATTTAAAATGTTTTATTCACAAATCTTGTGTTTATAAGCCTATTTTGGTTATAAAAAATGAGATAAATATGTAGTGCTTGTTTTGCTCTAAGGGAAGTGTTTTTTGTTTTAAAGTACTTTTGTTTAAAAGTACTTTTTAATAAGGTAAAACAAATAAACCATAGAGTGCATAACTTAGTATACCTCTTACCAAATATTTACATTACATAACCCTGTGTAAAGACCAGCCAAAGCATGATGGAGAGCATTTTCTGAACCCCAGAAGGCTTTGTCATGCTCTGTCCCCAATCTCCCCTCCCCCAAAGGAAACCACTGTGTTGACTTCCATCACCATCAATTAGTTTTTTTTTGTTTTTTTTTGAGACAGAGTCTCACTGTGTTGCCCAGGCTAGAGTGCCGTGGCGTCATCCTTGCTCACAGCAACCTCAAACTCCTGGGCTCAAGCGATCCTTCTGCCTCAGCCTCCTGAGTAGCTGGGACTACAGGCATGCACCACCATGCCCGGCTAATTTTTTCTATATATTTTTAGTTGTCCGATTAATTTCTTTCTATTTTTAGTAGAGATGGGGTCTCGCTCTTGCTCAGGCTGGTTTCGAACTCCTGAGCTCAAACAATCCGCCCACCTCGGCCTCACAGAGTGCTAGGATTACAGGCGTGAGCCACCGCGCCCGGCCTCTCTAGTTTACTTTTGTAAGAATACAGCATATAATACATATAATATACAAACTATGCGTTAATTGACTATGTTATCAGTAAGGCTTCTGGTCAGCAGTAGGCTATTAGTAGTTAAGTCTTGAGGGAGTCAAAAGGTACATGCATATTTTTTAATTGCATGGGAGGTGGTCAGTGCCCTTAACCTCCAAGTCGTTCAAGCGTCAACTGTAATTTTATGCTTGGACAAAGATTGGATACTGAAAAAATGGAAGAGGTGAAAACCGAGCAAGGCTTTTACAATTAAGACTGAATAAATTTTACAAGCATTACCTCTGGTTATTTTAAAATTATATTAAGATAATTCTTTTAAAGCACCCAATATAATACCTGCTATATAATAATAGGCACTCAAAACATAGTTTTTATTATAATACTTTTAGAAAATGGATACTTCTTCAAGATTGAGCATAATCTCAGATTATTTTTTAGCACAGTATTATTTCATATCCTTACACTGGAGTTCAGTCATTTGAGAGTCAATCAACCAACATTTACAGAACATCTATGTGCCATTGTTCAGGACACAGGTTGTAAGAGACTTTAGGGATTACCTAACTCAACCTATCACTTTACCAGGGAAAAAACTGAGGCAAAGAAAGGATTATGTGATTTGTCCATGGTTATTCCACCACTGAACAGCAAAGTTGTATGCTTTTTCTACCATATCTCTTCAAATAGCAGCATTTGATAAATGCACATGAACTTGCTTGGACAGTCTATTCCCCAGTGGGCTAAATGTGTCCATTCTCCTCTGCTGTGGTGTGAAATATGTCCACAAATCTGACATTCCTTCAAAAGGTGGGATTCTCCTCCCCTCAAGTATGGGCTAGACTTAGTGACTTGTTTCTAATGAATAGAAAAAAGGTAGAAGCGACAGTGTCCACCCTTGGAGATGAGGTCATGAAAGGCACTGCAGCTCCTGCTTGTGCTCCCCCTGGATGACTTGCTCTGGCAGCAGTTAGCTGCCCTGTGTGAGGACATCCCAGCAGCCTATAGAGACGCCCACATGGCCAGGAACTGATGAAGCCTCTGGCCAAGAGCCTTGAGAATCATCTCAGAAGTGGAGCCCTACTCAAGTTTTCAGATGGCCTTGGCCAACACTTGACTACAATCCCATGAACCCTCATATAACATGTGAAATAGTAAATATTTGTTTTTTTAAGCTGCTAAGTTTGGGGTAATTTGTTACATAGCAGTAGAGAACTAATACACTCTCTTATTATCCCTTTGTTTTCACTCCTACCCTTCCCTGACCTCCCTCCAATACCTTATTTTAGAGTTTATATTCTTAGGGCAATGACTGACACTTTCTTTTTTTTTTTTAGCTCTGATACTTTTGCTATGTTTATTAATTTAACAGCTTTATTGAGATAATTTACATACCATAAAATTGGTTGACATATTTTTAAAATTGCGATTAAAAACCATATAACAAAATTTGCCACTTTAATCATATTGAAGTATACAATTCAGTGGCATTAAGTGCATTCATGACATTGTGCAGCCATCACCACTGTCTAGTATGGAAGCTCCATACCTGTGGTTCACACATTTTAAAAGATTAATTTTATTTTGTCCTTCAAATTTGGAACAATCATGTAGTAACAAAGCAAAATTAGTTCAAAATGAAATAAAACCTTCTTTAAAGGTAAACAAATTTAGGAAGAAATAACATCAATATTTCTGATGACAACATATGTATCTTTTCACATTCTTGTGCAGAATAAGAAATTCTGATGAGGTACCTTCTGTTATGGATAAAACAAAATCTCAAATACTAGTTTTACAAAAAAATTAGTCTTTAAAACTCTTTAAATCCACTAAATGCAGAACATTGTACATAGTAATCAAGGAACTAGAACTGGGGACAGCTGTTGGGAATGTAACAGGGAGAGCAAATAGGTGTCATGTAGTGATGGCCTCCAATCTTATAACAGTGACAGCTGCCCACAGCCCTGGGACTAGAAAGATGCAGAAGGAACATCTGGGCTCAGTTCATACTATTCATCTGCCACAGGCTTCAGGGTACGAGGTGATGGCATTTTGGCCAGCTCTCTGCCAACTCAGGAGTTGGGCAAAGGTTGGTAATAGATATCATCAGTTCCAGCACCATTTCTTCCCAATAATCTTTAATACAATACAGGTTAGAGTGACCAGAAAATATTGCTACTGAATTGAAGGATGGCTATGCAAGGGCCTATATTGTATCATTTGATAGTTTTAGTTTCTAGTATCCTATGAAGAACAAAAATGAAGATTGTTGGCAAGAGAGTAACTTTGGTAGGCATAGTTCCTGTCCCTACCCCCGGCCCCCGGAGAGGGCATTACAACCTTGCTAAGATATGCAGATTATGCTTACAACCTCAGGAGAGGCAGCTTGAGAACCTAATAACAACAGTTGGAGTAACAACATTTATATTGTCCTGTATTCAGCTCACCAGCCTAGCATCTTTCGTGTAAGACTTTTTCATTTACTCATTCTTCCATTTATTTAGAAACTGAATTGAGTGCCTTCTAGGTAGCAGGCACTGTTCTAGGCATTGGTGATAAGCAGTGAAAAAGACAGTGGAGCTGGTGAAGAAAAGAGTATTGCTTTTGCATATACGTTTCTGAGTATGACACTCTCTGGAGCTAATCTGGACTGATTCCTGTTAGTAGGATGTTAGTGGGACTGAGAAGGGCTGCAGGTCAGACTGTGCATCCTTTCCCCGACCCCAGCACCTCAACACAGGCAGTAAAAGCAGGGAATAAGAAGAACATGGTTGCACTCTCTTTGCTTTACCAATGGCCAGTACCCCAGATGCTGGCCATTTCCATTCTCAAACTGCCCACTTCCATCATCTCAGGACGAAAGTATCTTGTCTCAAGGTTTTTATCTCACTGCTAGGAAACAGCAGTGAAGTTCTTAGTATAGTGCAAGATAAAGCCACAATCATGATGATACCCTCCGTGCAACTTAGGAAAAACCTCACTGAACAGATGCCACAGACCAAAGCGTCCCCACCCAGCCCTCTTGGTGTCCACCGTGAGCATACTAACAGGGTGACTCCACCACCCACCTGGTGGTGGGGGTCTAACTTCAGCCCAGGGGCAAGAGAAAGGCAGGGCTTGGCAGTGTTCCAAAAACAAGCCTGGAAAGGCACAGGGGCCTCCCCAGGCAGGACACTGGGGGCCAAAGGAAAGGCGGGAAAAGAGCCACTGGGGCGCTGGGGGTGGCAGGAAGTCTAGAGAGTGAGCCATGGCTGGGGAATGAAAATCTAGGATAAATACACATTTCTTTATTGTAAAAACCAAAACTAAGGGCCGGGCGCGGTGGCTCACGCCTGTAATCCTAGCACTCTGGGAGGCCGAGGCGGGCGGATTGTTTGAGCTCAGGAGTTCGAAACCAGCCTGAGCAAGAGCGAGACTCCGTCTCTACTAAAAATAAAAAATTAGCCGGGCATGGTGGCGCATGCCTGTAGTCCCAGCTACTTGGGAGGCTGAGGCAGGAGGATTGCTTGAGCCCAGGAGTTTGAGGTTGCTGTGAGCTAGGATGACGCCATGGCACTCTAGCCAGCCCGGGCAACACAGTGAGACTCTGTCTCAAAAAAAAAAAAAAAAAAAAAAAAAAAACCAAAACTAAGATGCAGGCATACAGCCATGTTGACCTTAACAATGGAATGGGCCTTATGTCTGGTGACGAGATGAGTGAGTGTGGGGTGAACCAAGGAAGGTCATTCCCATGCAATGCCTAAACATGATCTCTCAGACAGAACCCCTGGCCAGGAGAACCATTAACAATTGTCTGCTCCCTTCATTTGTTACAAGAAATTTGAGTCATTCCAATAAAACCAGCTATTGGCACAGGGAAATCTAACGTCGGACTTGTGAGGCAAAGAGAGCCAGCTGCTCCGGCCTCCAGGATGCACTGAGAACTTCCTATTTCAAGTTCCCAGCTGTCCCAGAGCCTAGGAAAAGGGGATGAACCTAGCCACCCCTGCCTCCAGACACATGCCCCGGCCAATAACAGGAGTGTTCTAGATTTTATCAGCTTTGTAAATGCACTAGGGGTTGAAATTAGATCCCTCAGTGTGGTTTTAGGAGCAAGAGAAGTGCCAAGTGAACCCAGGTTGGGATAACAAATGAAACAAGAGTCACGAGAGTAAAGGCCTGAAGTCCAACTTGCAGTGGGAAGGTTTTCTGGCCTCGCCGAAATCCTACATCCACGGCCCCCACGCCCCAGTGCCCTTGGGATCACAGCGGGGGTCCTGCGCAGGGAAGTACACGGGCACTGAGTGTTTATGGTAGAACTGCAGGCGGGAAAGGAGCTTCGAGACGATGTGGGGATATTCTCTGGACAGGTCATGCCTTTCTTCTGGGTCCTGCTCAATGTCAAACAGCCAGAGGGTCTTGGTTGGTGGGTCTGATGAGGGTATCTCAGAAACATTATACTGAGACGGTGGAGGGAACCAGTAACCACAGCCTAGCAAAGAAACAAAACAGGTCATTGAGGGAGAAACATGGTAGGCAGGTTCTAATTTGCAGAAGGGGGCTGAGGACAAGGCTGGCTGTGGGTTGGGGATGTGGACACATGAAAAGATGTGGCCCGTGATGCCGTCTCTAGGTTTGTCTCGGACTCTGACTTGTGGTGCTTTAACTAGACATATCTCGCTGCTGCATGGCCAGGGATGTCAGGAGTGTGCGTGCATGTGTGTGCGTGTGAGGGGGATTTTTAGTTGTCACAAGGACTGGTAGTAGGGCTATGCCTGGCAGTTAGTGGGCATGGGCCAATGATGTTACAATGTCTTGTGATATACATGAGACAGTCCCAAACAATAAAGAATTGTCTTGTTGCAAATGCCAAGAATGTCCCCATTATAAGTATTGCTTAATTGCCTCACAGTATTAACCATCACACCATGTATTTAAAAAGCACTGAAAAGATGTCACTTTTAGAGAATATGATCAGGGGAAACAACCTTCTTCCCCAGCTCTGCCATCAGCTGAGGGGGTAGCTCTTGGAGATTGATTCTCTTTGCTTGCCGAATGTGCTGTGCTCAGTAGGCACACGTATCTGAAATCCACATTTTCCATGAAGCATTAGAGTAGCAGTTTTCCTTATATCCCCACTACAGTTAATTCTCAATTTTTTGGTCTTTTTTTGGGGGGTGGGAGGTAGTGAGGACCAGTAGATGAAACCATTCCTTCTCCTTCAGCTGCCCCAGAGAGATGTTTTGCAAAAGGCAGTTACTTTGGTAAAACTTTTCCCTGATGTTCTGGTGGGAAAGCCTACGTGGGCCAGGACAAAAATGGAAGCTGTGTCATTGGGAACAGGCTGAGTCTTACAAGTGGGAAAAGAAAGCCCTGAGTAAATGGTCGTCTTCTTATGACACACATCAGGAGGGATCATGAAAGATTTGAAAGACAAGTTAACATTTCAGGTGTCTGAACAAAGAGGTGAATGGTAGGGCTTAGGAACCTCAAGGAGCCAAGCAGGAAGAGATGGCAACAGAGGCGGGAAGTAGTTAGAACAAGAGTGATAATGTCCTCCCTTTCTAGAGGAATGGCCAAAGGAATACAACTCCACGAGGGCAAGTAGACTGGAGATATTGCCCTGCCCTGTCTACCACGGGAAGGGAAGTATGTTCCATAAGCTAAGCATTGTACCTGGGTAGCCTGTGAGGAGTTTCCAATTTCCATGTCTAATTGCAGCATGGATAGATGTGTTAAAAGCTGAATATTCTGGAAGAGAAGACGCACCCTTTGCTGGGGCCATGCCGTTCCCAGGACCTGGGAAGAAATAGTTTGGAAGAATTAGATCGCTGTTATTGGAACGTGTCGTTATAAATCACCATTTTATGTGCTTCTTGCAGAACAGTAGCTTTTATTCAACACTGGAGTGCAAATGTGTATCTTGCCACAGAAATGAATCTTTTATTAAATGCAAACAGAAAGCTATAGCTATATGTCAGTCATAAACCACCACAAATATAAAGGAAATCCCAAAGAGATTAGAAGACTAATTCATCCTTAAAATCACTATGTTCTGCCAATGTACAGCTGGCCATATGCAGAACAGTGTTTTTTACAGTAGCATGAGTTGGTATTTTGCGGTTGTTTTTTTTTTTTTTGCTGCTAAATGCTTAAATTAAACACATTTTCCCTGCATACTAATTCCTATGTAGATAGTATGATAAATTATAAAATGTATATTTCAATGGAGTCTATCTCAAGCTATGAGAGTTCAAGCATGCTATGATAAAGAATACATTTATTTATTTATTTTTTTTGAGACAGAGTCTCACTGTGTTGCCCGGGCTAGAGTGCCGTGGCGTCAGCCTAGCTCACAGCAACCTCAAACTCCTGGGCTCAGGTGATTCTCCTGCCTCAGCCTCCAGGTGCATGCTACCACACCCAGATCATTTTTCTGTTTTTTGTAAAGATGGGGTCTCACTCTTGCTCAGGCTGGTCTCGAACTCCTGCGCTCAAGCGATCCTCCCACCTTGGCCTCCCAAGAGTTCTAGGATTACAGGTGTGAGCCACCGTGCCCGGCCAAAGAGTACATATATTTATTTATTTATTTATTTTGAGATAGAGTCTCACTCTGTTGCCTGGGCTAGAGTGCCGTGGCGTCAGCCTAGCTCACAGCAACCTCAAACTCCTGGGCTCAAGCGATCCTCCTGCCTCAGCCTCCCGAGTAGCTGGGATTACAGGCAAGCGCCACCATGCCCGGCTAATTTTTTCTATATATTTTTAGTTGTCCAGCTAATTTCTTCTGTTTTTAGTAGAGACGGGGTCTCGTTCTTGCTCAGGCTGGTCTCGAACTCCTGAGCTCAAATGATCCACCTACCTCGGCCTCCCAGAGTGCTAGGATTATAGGCGTGAGCCACCGCACCCGGCCTTTTTTTTAACTACACGAAACATATAAGTGAGCAGTGCTTAATTAACTATTCAGACAGGATAAGGATAAATTTGGTATACAAATTATTGATTGGTATCATGGATTACATTAACTTATCATTTTGAGGTTTTATATTAATTGATCATCAGGTTGTTGAGGGAGCAATTACTAATACCTATCTCTTCTGGAGTTTGGAACCAATCAAAGGGTAGAAGCTAGACAGATGGAGCAAAAAATATTGCTTTTGTTACTGACAAAATCGACTAGGGAGAACATGGCTTCAGATCTGTGTCAGGGAGAGCTTGCTCATAACTGACCCTTGATTCAGAAGGACTTAGCCACCATCATTGATCTTGCCAGACACGCGATGGGCTCGTGGAGTGCACAGCCCAGAGTGCTCACATATATCTAGGTGACAGGCTGGCTCAGGAACTAGACAGACAAAAGGGTCTGGGTCGAGATGCTCAGATGCTCAGTTCTCCTTTTGGATAACTCCCTCCTTTGCCTGCCTGTGGGGAGGGGTGAATAGGAGCAGCAGAGGTCTTCCACTCTTGTGGAAGGCACTGCTGGATCATGAGGGCAGGCTATGGAGGTCCCTCACCTTACTCTGACTTGTGCATAGTTGAAAGCCTCAACTTGGAGTCTAGCTGAGTAATATTTAATCTGTTTTAAGCCCATGTTCATCTGTTAACTTTGCAAATACGGTCAGGGAAATCATCTTGAGAGCACATCAAAAGGATGCTTAATTACCAGCCCAATAACAAATTGCCATCGTGTGTGATATGTCTGTAAGAGTACAGACGCCATCACGGTGATTAACCCATCTGTTTGCGTTTCTTTTATAAAAGACTTTGAGAGTACCCTCCTCCTTGCCAAAGCAGGACTTCTGTGCTCCTCAGGGTTTGATGCAGGAAGCCCTGTCAGTGGTAGGAAAGGCAGGAAGTCCCACTATTTTGACAGTCTTTTGGAAATGACCCTGCAGAGGAAACTGATCCAATAAACACCGGTGCTTTCAGAGCTTCAGTCTGAACAATCACTCAATGACACATCTTTAGCACCAAAGAGGAGAATCTTTTTGAATTCTTGCTTCTTTGCTTGTGGCTATTTTGGCTCCAGTGGCACCCGTCCAGCCGATGCTTCTAGCGACTGAGGTGTGTGAGGATGTCTATCCCAGGAAGTGGGTTCTTAATACACAGACTGTGGAAAGCTGTGAGCCCTCATGATTTGCTCCTCACAAGTTTGTATGAAGGTCATGTTTTGATACCAAAGAATGTTAAATAAAACAAGCATATTTTGTGAACATAAACAACAAAAAAAGGAAATTTGTCTCAGCTATACTTATATTTATATACTTTTTTTGTTAAAACAAACAGGAACATAAAATACCTAAACAATAAATAAGCTGAAGACTAAACGACGAAAGAGACTATTATCTCAATTTTATTGGCTTTCATTTTGAGAAATTAAACAAAGACAAAATTACAAAGCTTAATATAACTAACACTCTGCGAGCCATCACCCTAAATGGACTGATGTTAACATGTTGACATGTTTGCTTTTTTTTTTTTAAATAAAAGAAATTAGACAATAAAGATGAAGTCTCCTTTGTCCCATCCTCAACCCCAGGCCCTTCCTGTGCTTTTCCAGACAGAGCACGCTGCTATCATGACTTCAGGACATTCTTCAGCCATATCAAAGTACAGTAGAACACATGAGTGCCAAGGAATAATACATAGTACTATTTTATGTTTTAAAAATGTATGTGTGTGGCCGGGCGCGGTGGCTCACGCCTGTAATCCTAGCTCTCTGGGAGGCCGAGGCGGGCGGATTGTTTGAGCTCAGGAGTTCGAAACCAGCCTGAGCAAGAGCGAGACCCCGTCTCTACCAAAAATAGAAAGAAATTAATCAGCCAACTAAAAATATATAGAAAAAATTAGCCGGGCATGGTGGCGCATGCCTGTAGTCCCAGCTACTCGGGAGGCTGGGGCAGTAGGATCACTTGAGCCCAGGAGTTTGAGGTTGCTGTGAGCTAGGCTGATGCCATGGCACTCACTCTAGCCAGGGCAACAGAGTGAGACTCTGTCTCAAAAAAAAAAAAAAAACAAAATGTATGTGTGTGCTGTTGATGGGAATGCAAATTAGTATAGCCACTATGGAAAAGAGCGTGGAGGTTTCTCAAAAAACCAAAAACAGAACTATCATATGATCCAGCAATCCCACTGCTGGGTATTTATCCAAAGGAAAGGAAAACAGTACAGCAAAGGAATACCTGCACCCCCATGTTTATGCAGCACTATTCACCATAGCAAAGATGTGGAATCAACCTAAGTGTCCATCAATGAATGAATGGATAAGAAAATGTGGAATATATACAGACTGGAATACTATTCATCCATAAAAAGGAATGAAATTCTGTCATTTGCAACAACATGGATGGAACCAGAGGTCATTATGTTTAATGAAACAAGCCAGGCACAAAAAGACAAATACTGCATGTTCTCCCTCACATGTAGGAGCTAAAAAATGTTGATCTTATAGAGGTAAAGAGTAGAACGATGGTTACAAGAGGGTGGAAAGAGTGGGGCAGGGTGGGGAGTGAGCATGGTTAATAGGTACAAAAATCTAGTTAGATATAAGGAATAAGTTCTATTATTTGATAGCACAGTAGAGTGACTATAGTTAGCAATAATTTATTGTGTATTTAAAAATAGCTAGAAGAGAAGATTTGAAATGTTCCCACCACAAAGAAATGACAATTGTTTGAGGTGATGGCTATCCTAAATACCCTGATTTGATCATCACACATTGTATGCATGTATCAAAATATCACATGTACCCCATAAATACGTACAATTGTATATCAATACAATTAAATTAAAATGTACCTGTGTGATATGTTAGACACAGTGTGCAACTTGCTTTATCATTCACTATTGTGCGTTTAGACCTCTGTGATTATGTACGTGCATATATTCCTTTTAATTGTTTAATATTTCATTATATAAAAATACCACATTTTATTTATCCACTCCCCTATTGACGGGCATTCAAGTTGTTTTAATGTTCTTTTTTTTGGTATTATAAACTATTCTGAAATGAATATTGTTATCCACATCTCCTTGTGCAAATGTGCTAGAGTTTCTTAAGAACGTGTGTCTAGCAGTAGAACTGTTGAGTTGCAGGGTGTGCACACTTTCAACTTTACAACACATGCTACTTGGCCCTCCCACTAATTGTCTCCCCATTTCTCCATACCCTATATCTGATATTTCAGACTTAAAATTTTTGTCTAAGAACTTTGACAGAAACTTCATCTTTTTTTTTCATTAAATTAGCAAGAATTTTCTCTGTATCAATACAGAGGTTGCTTTAAAAATAGCACCCATAGAGAAAAGAGCACAAATCGCAAGTGAACAGCTCGATGAACAGTGAACTCTCCCCTGTCAACACTGCCCGATCAAGAAACAGAACATGACTAGGACTTCAGAAACCCACGTCAGCAGCCTCCAGTGACTTCCCTCCTCTCCCCTGGTCACTGCGATGCTAACTTTGAACAGCAGAGATTATTTCTGCCTGCTTTTGAACTTAGTGTGAATGGAAACCATATAGTATGTTACTCTTATTTCTGGCTCCTTTTGATCAATATCATGTTTGGGAGATTCATCTATGTTGTTGGGAATCAGCCTGTTTCCAGCACTTCATTCGCTTTCATTGTTGGATATTATTCCATTGTATGAAAATTCCCACAACCTCTTATATTTAAATTTAAAACTCACCTGGGATTGATTTTTGTCTATGAAGTGAAGTAGGAATCAAGATTCATTTTTTCAAAATATGGCTTTCAACTAACCAAACCCCACTAATTACAAAGAGTGTCCTTTTCCTACTC